AAAAAAAAGATTTGCTTAGAGAATTTAATTGCAATCCTCCGCATTTGTCGTTTAGACTATCAACATGAAAAGATTAAAACTTTCAACTTTCACTGATACTGAGCCAACAAACCCAAACGAAACACAGTTAAGAAGAAAAGGCCCTTACAGCAACCATAAAAATGTACACTTTAGAAAAACTAAGCACAGTTAAAACAGCAAAACCAAAACAAAGACTTTCAAAACAGAGATTGAAACCACATATACACAAAAAAAATAAGAAATAAATTAAATTTATATTACAACAATCATCATCAATTAAAAAAAATATTTTACTGATCAATGGCGTCCTTCAAGTCTGCAATGGCTTTCTTAGCTTCCTCCAAAGTGGGGACAGAAACGAACACCACCCTCGGCACAACCAAACCGCTGTTGTCGGCGGAGTCCCACTCATCCCACGATGCCGCCGTGTGCACCGAGACAACCTCGGCGGTCTTCGCTCCCTGCGACGGCACGCCAGCGACAGACAAGGGTGGCGACGCGTTGCGAACCGATTTCTCGGTCGGGAGCGCCACGGAAACCACGAAGACCCGACCAGAAGACGCCAATGCCGGTAACATTCGCCGCCCGTCCTCATAACTCCCTCCTCCGCCACCCATTGGAGCCAACAAATGAAGTGAGAGTAGCACGAGAAAGGAATTCATACGTTGTGATCACTTTTATAATATTCTACTATACGGGTCTACGCGGTACACATCCTAAAAATCAGCACAACATATTTTTTTTTATTATCCGTTATCTATTTTAATAGACGACTTCAGTATTCTATAATTTTATATACTTTTAATAACATATGTATTATTTATTTTTCATGATGTGTGTATTTATAATCTAAATGAAAATACACTGCAGAATCACTTAAGATATAAAGTTGAGTAACAAAGGGGGAACTACCTGTAGTCGCCTGGTACCCACTTAGAAATCACTGTTTTCTTTTTTATTTATATTGTACTTTGTCTACTGTTAGATGTTATGTAAGATTTAAACTACATCTATTTTAAAATACAGTAATAATAATTGGATATTAATATTGTTATAAATCCGGTGGAAGCACTTCATTATTTATTTTGTAATGAGTTTATTATTTAAAAATAATAAATAAAAATATACAAACTGATACATTTGATAACTAAATATTATTTAACTACAAAATATAGTAAGAATTATTGATGTCAGTAGCTAAAAATGTTAAATAAAAATTAATAAAAAGTAATTAGAAATTGTAAATTAATAAGAGAATATTGGAGTATTATGGAATTATAAATTATTATGATTCTTCCTAATTTTTAAAATTATTTATTGATTTTATTTATCTCTTATTTTCATAATAATATATGGGATGAGTGTCTCATTAACGGACACTCAAGCACGTCACAAAAATAATCATAATTATTATTATTAGATGAAATGATTGTGATTTACAAACCAAGTGATCATCTTACAAAGTGATCATCTTACAAAATAATTACATCTAAACATTGATAAATTTATTATATTATTATCAATTCGACTATAAATAGTTGCTAATTTAAAGTCATTTTAAAATTTATAAATAAATGTTTGAAATAAAAAGGTAAATGGTGATATTTAATATGTATTAAGAACTAAAATCGTGGAATCCTTATTGACATTGACAATCAAGTGTTTTTTTGGAGGTAACATCTAGGTTTAATAAAAGAGACAGCTAGGCAACCGACAAAGTAAAACAAACTTCAAACCTTCAAAACATTCGTTATACATCGTGAACATGTTCATTTCGAGCCGAGAACCAAATATGTTTTTCTCTTTTATTTTTAAATAAAATTATCCATAAATTCATTATTTTCATCCTCATCAAATTAGAAGAGGTAACTCTAAGTTGTATCATCTATGAGTATTTTATATTGTATTTTTTCAAAAAAATAATTATTAATGTTTTTTTCATTTATTAATATATTTAATTATGATTAGTTATCATACATATCATTTTAGTAATTACGTTTAATAATATTTTAATTTCTTTTTTTGTTCAATATAATTATAATTATATAAAAAATTGGTCTTTTAACAGGTTAAAAAATTTTATTTTTGAATTTTAGTAAACAAATTGATAGATTAGTTTAAATTTAACTCCAAGCATTTTATTGATGCATGGTTATTAATATTTAAGTTTGAATCTATTTTGGCATCAATTGAATAGCCTTTTCTTTAAACATCAGTCTTTCATTCACTCGTTTTTTAATTCAATTTCAATGTTGTTTAACATTTCGGAATATGTATCACAACAGGTTCTCCGATGTCAAGTTAATTTCTTTCAAATAGCAAGGGAAATCAATGCTTAATTAAGTGTCGTCTATCACCTTAACTTGAACCCCTATTTATAAACTTCGTAATATATTTTTAATTCAGGATAAACCTATTTCCAATCAAACATAGATAATCGTGATTAAGCCTTTAAACATAATGATTTAAATTAATTAGTTGTGGCACCATGATCATCCGGTCTATTGCAAGAAATTCCTTTGAACTTAGGGTTGACTATTTGGCTAATAATCTACCAGTCAAGATATACTATACATATGCCTCCATGCTCGAGCACCGGCTAAGTTGCAAAAGGATTTATACTTTGAATGCTCGATGTTCTGTCGTCTTCTTTGTTGGTTGTTCGTGTCAAATTATGATCGTTGAGAGAGCCTACCATGATGCCTCGAACTTGACCCATGTCAGAATTTGAAACATTGGATTGTTTTGATATATGTGCTTCTATAGATAGGAGTGAGCCTGACCCATCATCTCCTGTTGTTGTTCAACACACCACTAATTCTTAGGATGTTTAGATTTATTTTAGGCTCATTCAGGCTTTTACTTTTACTTTTTGTAAAAAGTATAGGTTGTCGTCATTTGGATAGGTTTTTGTAGAAACCATACTTGTATGCAATGATGATCATATTTTGTCTTAATCAGGTTTTTTCTAGTTTAGCTTAACTATCTTTAATTTTAATTTAATCCATCATTTGGAATCTAAGTAAATGTACTTGTTATGACTGATTCGTTTAATAAGGTCTTTGCAAAAAAAAATTCTTAATTGCTTTTGTTGATTGTAACGCGTGGTAGGGGTTTTATGTCTTGCCCTTAAGCACTTGTTTAATTTATCGATGATGAAACGTTAGGTAGGAGTCTTGTTGTCAGAACTCTTTCTTAATCAACAATTGTTAATACGATACACGATATGAGTTCCTTTTGAACTCCTCTTTAACCATTAAATTTTTCACAATCAAATTGTTCGGTAGGGGTTTTGTTGCCTTGAAAATATGATTTTATTGCTTTGGTTGCGTCACTAAAACGTCCCAAACCAAAATTCTTCTTAGGAAAAATGTTGGTGGTAAAAAAAAGTACGTTGGTCAAAGTTTACAAAGTTTAACTGGAGTAAAACTTAAGATGAGACACATTGCAGTTATTAGGCAGACTCTTTCATTCTTCAATTTTTTTACAATCGTGAAGGATATTTCCTAATTCGACATAAGCTTGTAACGTCATTCACTTTTCTCCCAACTAAGTCTCCTTCATTGAAACTTCTCAATTTGACTTCACTATTATATTTTTGAGTTACTATTCTCTTCGTTCGATAACTATTGTATTTAATTATGATCTAGTTATTATATATCATTTTAGTAATTACGTTTAATAATATTTTAATTTTATTTTTTAGTTCAATATCAATTATAATTATATAAAAAATTTCTTTTAACACCAAGGAAAACGAATTTTATTTTTTGAATTTTAGTAAAATTGATATGATTAGTTTAAATGTTAACTTCAACATTTTATTGATCATGTTATTAATAATTTAAATTTGAATCTATTTCCACAATATGAATGGAGCCTTTTCTTCAACAAACGGTCTTCCATTGATTATTTTCGAATCCAGTTTCTATTTGTCAACACCATTGAGAATACTTTTTAAAGGTCTTCCTATGTCAAAGTCATTTTGATTTAAATGGTAAAAACAAAAATACCTAATTAATCAATCATCTACCATCTACCATCTTATCTCTAATTTTTATTTATAAATTTTGTAATGGACTTTTAATTATGAGTTTAATTACAATCCAAATATAACTCATCCTGATTAAGCCTTTATTTAAAATGGTTTGAATTAACTAGTTTAAGCTTGATCATTCGATAGTCGTGACACCATGACCGTCCAATCTGTTGCTAGAAATTCTTTTTGAACTTAATTTTGATTGTCCGATCAATAATTGAAGGATCGAAATATAATGTATAATACCATTTATCAAACGTGCTTGAATATATTAATTTTTGTCAACAACAGGTGAGTAACGTACATTTTATTAAATTCATTACTTAGTTCGTCATATTCTTACTATTTTAAAAATTATAGAAAAAAATCATTTTCTATAATAAATATTATACCAACAAGATTACGAAACAAAATGACAGATTATCAGTGATATTACATTAAAAATGATAGTTGTGATTTAATTATTAATAAGTTAAAAATTTGAAAACAAAATCCAATTATAATTTTTTAAGTATTAAATTATGCAATTTTTGACAAAAGTATAATTTTTAAATGAATTATTTTGGTGATATCAAAATTGAATTGGTCACTAATTATTCTAGTAAAAACATAAACACATATGATAATTTTTTATAATAAAAATTAATAAAATTATAATTATTAAAAATATAAATTATTTATATAATTTAATTATAGATAGTTTTTATTTCTTTTCATTTTTATTCTTCAAGTTACCATTTTATTTAAATATAACTAACTTTTTAATTTAACTACTTTTTTAAATTAAATAAATAAAAATTATTTATTAAATAAATTAAAATCATATATATCTTTTTTTTAAAGAAAGAAAACAAAATGTAAGAAAATAGTATATATTTATTATTATAAATAAGTTGATTCTGGACCCAACTGAAATGGACACCTTCGATTTTGTGGTTGATATGAATCCTGCACTGTAAATATCAAGGCAACCTTAACTTCCCAACATATTGCTGCGATCATTTTCCAAATGGAAGCGTTTAGCACGACTCAATCCTCCTCTGCTTCCACGTCTCTTCTCAATTTTCAGGTATTACTCTCACGTTGGAACATATACCAACCCTCTTATTTCATCTTTTAACACTTTTATACTTATTAGTATTATGCCAAATTATCACAACCAATGTTGTAAACATAATTTAACTTCCTTGAATTTGCTACCTCTTTGATTTTACTGAGCCAACATAAAATAGGTTATTTCATGTTCCTTACATATTATCCTTTTACTCTTATCATTCAGTAAAATTGGGTTATCCCGGAAGTTCATTGAATGTCAAAATCATTTCTTGATATTGAACTTTGATTCTTATTTATGCTGTTGCTGAAGATGGAACTTCCCTTTTCATCAGAGCCAGTGAAAGTTTGGTACTTGTTGATATGATTTTTGCTTCATCTTGTTGCTCTTCTGTTAATTCATACTCAGGGGCCTCAGTTGGCTAAAAGAAAGTTTAGTAAGAATTCTCAACACACTATTTTGGCATCACCTACGCTACCTAAACCATTTCTTCAGATTTATGGTAGACCTCAGACATTAATTTATACGTCAACGAGAATTACTTCTGGAGCACACAGAGCAGCAATATCGGCTGAAGCTGGACGACAAAATTGGGATTTTGGAAGATTTGTAAAAACACTATACTTCTTCAATGGGTTTCCATCTCCTGCTAAGGTAACACTGTCTTCAACTTTCAACTAGTATAACTTGAGAGTAATAGGAAGGAAAAGAGAGAGAGAGCTAGAGGGAAAGACTGGTATGGATCTACTAATGAATATTCTTCATTTCTGAATTGTGAAGTTCTTTGACTTTCTAGTTGAGAAACTTTCTGGTCCTTCCCCGAGTGTAATGGTTAACACAATTAGAACTTCTGATATTGTCCTGGTAGCTGGAGCTACTGGTGGCGTTGGTCGAAGAGTAGTTGACATACTGCGGAAGAAAGGAATTCCCGTCCGAGTATTGGTATTGTTGTTAACTTACCTTTTTCACAAGATTTCATTGCATATAATAGTTTCTAGGTAAATAACAAAGAAAAGAATTTAGAAATTTTTGGTCTATTAATACTTGAATTTGGTGCATAACAAATATTATATTTCTGTCTATATTTATCAGGTTAGAAATGAAGAGAAGGCAAGGAGAATGTTAGGCTCAGATGTTGATTTGGTGAGTCAGTTTCATAATGTACTGAAAGACTTTACAAATGATCAAATAAATTCGTAGTATCTTAATTCGCTACATTTGTTTTGGGTTCTGAATTTTGCAAAAGTTGCCACCTTACATTTGTAGTTACCATTTTTGTTCACAATGAGGAGTTATTGGACCTAAATACAATGCATCCAGCAATGATGGAAGATAAGTAAGCTTGGTGAGCATGTGTTTGCGTAGGAGGAGATAATCAATTTGACTTCTGGCTATATCAAGTTCTTCATTGATTTTTCTGTGGAATATCTGCTTATATTTCAAGATTTTGTGGAATATAATGATGTTCCTCAGTATCGAGTGATTTGCAAAGAGTGCACTACGTAAATTGATTGTTTCTTTATCCATTACTTTTCTCTGCTGCCAACTTACCTTTATATGTGCACTAAGGTTATTGGAGACATTACAAAAGATAGCACTTTGATCCCTGAATACTTTAAAGGCGTGAAGAAAGTGATTAATGCTGCTTCTGTTATAGTTGGCCCTAAGGAAGGAGACACTCCAGACAGAGCAAAGTACAGCCAAGTATGTCCATTAGATTTATTTGGACAAACAAATTCGATTTTTCTTACACAGTAATTACTGCTTATCTTTCACTGAGAACTAGGTGTATAATCTACTAATGATTCTATTTGGACAAATTTTTCCATAAATACTTACAAAAAAGTCAGTAGAAAAGAATGAGATAAACTTCTTTCATATGCTAAAATTAGGTTATGAATATGTTAGGAAATTAACTTATGCATAAGATAATTTTAACTTG